AAAACGCCAACATCATCGGAACAACAATCAAAGAGGTCTCGTGGTTCGGGTTCGGTTGACGTTTCCGACAGACACACGAACATCGACCTCAACGCGGACACCGATGAGATCCCGGACGAGTTTGATGACATCGAGGAAATCTCTCCGCCACGAAGACCGATAGGGCGCGACAAAGCCAAGCGCGCGCAACGACATGCGCAGGAGAATGAAAGTCGGCTTCGAGAGCACAACAAAATGAAAAAAAAAATTCGACGCCCACACGGAAATCGCAAATAAAAGATATGAATTGCAACGGGAGCATTTAGATTTCCTTCGTAAAGAAGCCGAAGAAGATCGTATATCGAAGGATTTGACAATTCTTACAACAAACGAATCAAATTTACCACCGAGACGAGCTGAAGTGATACGGAGGATGAAGGCAAAGATCGAGAGCAAATACTTGGACGAAGAATAGTTTGTCGATGTTTTTTTTTTTTTAAATTATTAGGACTATTGTGTGTTTTTTTTTCAATGTTTTTTTTTTTGGTTTGTATGATATTTTTACTTTACTATTTAATGAAACTATGTTTTATTAATTTATATGTTTTTTTTATAGATATATGACATAAAAAAAACGAATTAGAAATATATGAAGTAAATAAAAAAAAATAAAACAAATTAGAATAATAGAAATTAAAAACATTAAAAAAAAATAAAAAATAAAATAGAAAATAATTGGTGTTATCACATGTTATTAGATGTTGTCCATTTCCACCTTGAGTGTTATAACACCAAATTGTGACTAGTATGATGGGGTGGACAATTTGGATGTGATAACATTTAATAACATGTTATATATGGACAATTGATAGAGTTTTGAGTCATCCAATTGTATGATTTTAATGATATAATATGGTTCACCAATTAAATTTGGATATATATGAAAGAAGTACCAATTAAGAGATAATCTTGAAAGAAGTTGGTATATTTAAAGAGGTAAATGGTCCATATATTAGAGGGTGGTTGGGGTAGTGGTGGTTTAGGTGGATATATGACGACAATGCTTCTTCACCTTTACTTGAAGCAACAAAGTATAGTATATATGACAAGATGAAAGAAAACAATCTAGCAACTTATAGTAGCGTCAATGCAATTATGTGCTTTGTAATTTGTACTCTACACATGACTAGTAATAGTATACATTTTTACCTGGACACAAATTGCTTTTGATGCCATAGGAACTTTCTTTCTTGTGACAGACCAAGAGAAACTAGTTGAAAATACACTTAGTAATTGTACGAATTGTGATAATTATTTAGAAAAATAGGGAAATCAATAATCATGTCATCGGGTGAATTCTTGTTACAGTTGTACACATGTAATAAAATTCAACTGGAACGATGATGTAGTTGAATCATATATTGTTTAGGTGAATCGATTTTTAATTATGATTTACCGGCAGAGTTACAGAGAGTTCTAATATATTTTTTTTATATATAGTTCTTTGTAGTTTTTATAATTCATGTAATTTTGTTTATCTTTTATAAATATTGAAGTACTATATTCAATAAAATACAAATGATGCATTTAAGTTTTATTATCTTAATTTAAGTAGTCCGTTTTTATAGTTTACAATCTGGATATTGAAGTAATTCGTTTGTTTCTAATATTTGTACAATCCTTTGACAACTTCATTTGTGTTTTATAAATAATTTGAAGTCCGTTTTTCAAATCCTATCCTAGTAATTAATATAAACTTATAAACGACCAAGTTTTGTGATTTTTTTTAAAGTTAATTATTCAGTTTTGTTTGTTATGTGTAAATGAAATATTATATTTTTTTAATATTTTGAAATTTGTAAAATTTAAATAAATCATTATAATGCATATTTAAATGAATGGCCCAAAAGGATGGACCGGTCTATGCCTCCTTCGTTTCTTGGCCTTTTATGGGTCCTACTTTTGAACTTACGGC